TTTCCGATTTCCAAGAGCAGAGGACATGTGTTAGGTTTGAAGTTTGCTAGAGGCAAGCATGTTTGCATCAGTAGTGACTGCTGAAAGGAAAGGAAGGGAAAGAAGAGTCATCTCTGATGGCTTCACCTGACCCCCGACTTGAAACTGATTCATTTGGGCCTGTTTCAATTTAAAATCAGGAATCAGTCACTGAGTATGTGTCAAACTTTCAAACTAGTGAAAAAGATTACTCCACTTAATTTTATATTATTTTAATAAGGATGAATAATTTTTATCAAATGATTAAATAAATTAGGATATTTTGACTCTGCAGGATCACTGAGTTATGTGGAACACTGAATTTCACAACAGTGCTGGATAAACTTTCAAACTCAGCGCGCCAGCCATCCAGATTTCTGTTAAACACCCAGCTGTTACATACTTTAATATTAAATACTAAGTGGTGCACTCAAAATGTAATTGATTTTTTGTATAGACTTTATAAAATGTATAAAGTGGGATAAATGATCAGGTAGTCAGTATTGCCCTCACTTGTTGAATATTAGCATTATTGTCATACAATGATATGACCATACCAAGATGGTTCTTTTCTTCCCTCTGAAGAACCCTCTCCCCCCTTTATTTTAAAACAAGCACAAAATACCGTGAGTAATTGACATTTTCAGTACAATAGTCTCCTTCCAGTCATGGAAGTTTTTTAGGTTCTAATTCTTGTGAAATCACAGCTTTGAGTACTTCCTTGGTTCTATTAATAGTTTTTCATTCATATTTTATTTTTTCCTCATAACCATACTATTAGATTTTTGAAGGATGAAGTTCAAAATAAGGGAAGTAAAATAAAATTTAAATTAAAGAAGTTTGTTGGGGGGAAAAATGGCGTAGATGATAGAGGCTCTGTTCATCCCTCTGGTGACCAAATCAAGGTTGTGATGGAAACAAGGAGCAAACAGCAAAGAAAAATCACCTGGGATCTAGATGAACAAGCTATACAACTAGGGAGAAATCCAAGAAATCACCCTGCAACAGCAGAAGGTAGGATAGGGCGAGGACGTGAGGCTGCCTCGCCCGAACGGCTGAGATGGAGGCTGTGATAGTGGCAGAAGCCTCTTAAAGGGGCCACGTCCACGAGCAGACTTTCGCAGTGATGGACCTGGTCGCTCTGAGCACCAGTGCTGGTCCAGCTACGCGCACAGGGCACCAGGGACTTATATGGGGACTTATATGCTGAGTTGTTGGAGTGAGGGCCGAGGCAAGACTCACTCTGTATAGAGTGCTGGCAGTATCCATTGTTCTCTTGTTGAGCCCTTCCCACTCCCAGCCCACGGATACAGCACCACCATAGCAGAGACATCATCAGACATAGATAACAGAGGTCACTCTGCCCAGAGGATTCCCTGAAACTTCACTTCTCCCAACTTGCGGCCCCACTCAAGCCACATCCAGGTATATCCTTAGCGAGTGAGGTACTCCTTACAGAGCAGCACCTAGACTCACACTGGAGGCAGCCGGCCTCGGTTTCTGGTGTGGCTTTTCAAGGCAACTATAAGCACAGCATCTGTGGATTGCTTGCTGAATCTTAACAGGTGGCCCCAGAGGGGCACAGGCTGGGGCTAAACTTGGCCAGCAGCTGAACCTCTCTCAGGACTGTGCCACTGGACACCTACCACACAAATCCACACTAGTAAGACCAGGAGACTTAGGAGCTTTGCTTAGTACATAGAAACAGATATGGAAAAGCAGCCAAAATGGAAAGATGAAGCAGAAACAATGTGAGAGAACAGAACAGGGATCTAGGAATAATGGAGTCAAGCAATCTAACAGATGCAGAGTTCAAAACACTGGTTATAAGGTTGCTCAATGAATTTAGGGGAAGAGTAGATGAACTCAGTGAGAACTTTAAAAAGAAGATAACATAAAATGGAAATTATAAAAGGGAACCAGTCAGAAATGAAGAACAAATGAAGAACACATTATCTTAGATGAGAGTATATTAAGTGGAATAAACAGAGTGGATAAAGAAGAGGATCAAACCACCAATGTAGAGGACGGGGAAGCCAGGGACACTCAATCAGAACGGCAAGAAAAAAAACCAAGACTATAATAATAATTTAAGGAGCCTATGGGACACTATTAAAGGTAGACATATCCATGTCATAGGATTAACTGAAGAAGGAAACAAGATGCTGAAGAGCTGTTTGAAGAAATAATGATGGAAAACTTCCCTAATCTGGTAAAGGAAATAGACATACAACCCCAGGAAGCTCAGAGAGTCTCCGAAACCGGGAACCCAAAGAGGCCCACACCAAGACACATCATGATTAAAATGCCAAAGGTTAAATACGAAGAGAGAATCTTAAAAGCAGCAAGATAAAAGCAGATAGTTACCTACAAGGGAGCACCCATAAGACTGGCAGCTGATTTCTCAAAAGAAACTATCCAGGACAGAAGGGCTTGGCACAAAATATTCGACATGATAAAGACCCAGGATTTACAACCAAGAATCCTTTATCTAGCAAAGCTATCATTTAGAGTTGAAGAACAGATAAAGAGCTTCCCATACAAAAATAAGCTAAAGGAATTTATCACCACCAAGCCAGTAGTATTACAGAAAAAGTTGGAGAGACTTCTTTAAGAAGAAAAAAAATGTGTCAAAAACAGGAATAAAGAATGGTAATAAATTTATTCCTATCAATAAGTACCTCAAATGGAAAAGCATTAAGTGCTCCAAGCAAAAGATAGGGTGGCTGAATGGATAAGAAAACAAGACCCCTACATGTGCTGCCTACGAGAGACTCACTTCAGATTAAAAGACACAGTCTGAAAGGATGGACAAAAATATTGCCTGATCGACCTAGAGGATATTGAGTTTAATGAAATGGATTGGATAGAGAAAGACAAATATTGCATGATTTCACGTACATGTGGAATCTAAAGAACAAATCAACAACAACAAAAGTGGAAATAAACTCAGAGATACAGAGAATATTTTGAGGGCTACTAGATAGGAGGGTGTGGTGGCGGGGGAGGACGGCAAAAAAAGGCAAAGGGATTAAGAGGTGCAAATGAATAGTTGCAGAATAGACATGGAGATGTAGAGTGTAGCATGGGGAAGATGCTTAATGTTGTAATTACTCTATAAGGGGAAGAGGAGTACTAGATTTAGTGGTGTGATCTCTTGAGTTATGTGGATCTCTGATCACTGCTATACAACTGAAACTGGTATATTGTATGCCAACTATAATTGAAAAAAAAAACCTCACTGAATTGTACAATGTAAATACAAGCAATTAATTTTCTATTATATTTCAATAAAGCCAAAATACTAAAGAAAAAGAAGTTTGTTATGTTTATATTTTAAAAGATGCTTGTTGAAGAAGACTTAGAAAAAAGAGAAATGTTTAGGGAGGAAAATGAAAACCATTGGAATTCACCACACATACATACTAGTCTTCCACTGTGACTTAGGGAATTTCTTGGGTAGGGGGTACCAGTTCCACCCTTGTCTCCCCCTCCCCCACCCCAACTCCCTTGGAAGGGTTCTTGTCACTTTTTCCAGCCATCTCTCAGAACCTGTTCTCAGTGCCTCATTTGGAAATTGCCTTTACCTTCTGCTACCCTCAGGTCTAGGCAAATCTTCAGACTTGTAGAAATGGCTCAAAGCCCTTTGGAAGCGCGTTGGTGTACACATCAATTCCTGGGAGTGTTGTCAGTTCAAGGGCGATAGCACGATGGCTACATGCAGGCTCAGCCGTTTGTGGAAGGTACTACTGGAGAACAAGTTCAGCATGTTTGCTGTAATAACAGGCTCATAGCTGTGGAGGCACACCTCCAGGTTTTGAACTCCTTTATTTTGCTTTTTGAAACTTGGGAAAAACTTTAGTGCCTGTTACAAAATATCACCTGTGCTTCTGAAGATAAAATGTAGTGAAACTGTCTTCAGTTTTTGCAGTGAATCGCTTATTTTTTTTTTTGAAGTTTTTTTTTTTCCAGATTTGTCAGAGACAATCAGCATAAGCTACTACGAATAAGTGGGGGAGTGGGTAGAGAAGTTATTTTAAGTGTGTACACAGGAACCCAGGAAACGGTGAACACCAGCCTTAGCATAACAGAAGGAGAGGCTGGTCTGGGGCCAAGGTGAATGTTAGGGCTGCAGGGCAAGAACCTCCTAGTTTGCTCCCAACCTCCCTCTGTCAGTCTGATGGAGGTAAGCTCCTCTCTTGCAGCCAGGCTACATAGCACTTCTCCCGCCAACCTATAGATTTGCTGTTCTTTTGTCGGGACTGTGGAGGCATCACTCAGGCCAAGAAGAAGGGAGAGAATGTGTTGAAAACAAATAAAAAATTGTGTATGTGTGGTATTTGTCGTATGTGGTATGTCTGATGTGTGGTGTGTGGGTGTATGCATGGTATATGTTGTGGGGGGGGGTGTGGTATGTGTGGAGTGTTTGTGTGGTGTGTATGGGGTGTGTGTATATGTGTGGTGTGGGGTATGTGTTTGTGGTATGAGTGTGTGTGTGTGTGTGTGTGTGTGTGTGTCTGTGTGTGTGTGTGTATGCCGTGGATACTAACAGCGACTTTCAAAAGCACTCCTTCCCTTAAAAAGTATGAATGTGAGAGAAATGGGACTAGTATTTATTATACCTTGTTCTAAATTTCTCTTAACTGTATAAATGAAAAAAAGATAAGTGTCTTAGACTCTGTTCACCTTGGTTTTGTGGCTCAGCCCTACTCTGGCTGGCCATTTTCCAAGATAGATGCATGTCCTTTCTGGCTTTTCTGTGTGGGTTTTGGTTACATTCATAGGCTCTGCTTTCTCAGGTACAGGTATTATTGACTCGATTGTACTTCTGTGGTACCTCATGAAGCCTCAAGAGTCCTTCTACAAATTCTTGAAGTAGGTTCAATGTAAGTCATAAAGACAGTATAGAGGTGTTGTGTCATGAACTGGAATTCTGTTTCAAGCTTTCCTTTTATACAGTTTAGCCTTTCTTTCTTTTTCAGACCCTCCTCACCTTTTTCCTGCATTCCATCCTCCTGTGCCAATCGATGCAAGACATCACGAGGGGCGTTACCATTATGATCCATCTCCGATTCCTCCATTGCATGTGTAAGTATTAAAACTTTACATCAGAATAAAGCAGAACAAAATACTGGCTTTGACTATCTTGGAGCTTTTTGTTACCAGCACAGCTGTTGGGCATTGAAGATGTGATAGAAGTATAAGGTTTACTTTTGAAATGCATCAAGCCTATCTCCTAGACTCACTGAAGGAAATCCCCAGTGCTCTCTAAAGAATGCCTGTCATACTAGGTAGATGGCAGGTATTTCCTATATATTTTGCTGACGTGTATTCTGTGGGCTATAAATACTGAATTAAAAAGTAGAGGCCTTATGGAAGGTATTTGGTTAAGAATGGGTTTGAAGTTTTTCTTGCTAAAATTTCTGTATGTGAAAGGCTCTCAGGTATCACAATGAATTGTAATGAAATTTCTATGGTATATTTTCATAGCTCCTGTGGTGTGTACACCAACAGTCACTTGATTGATGGGAATGTCACCCAAACAAAATGGCAAATGTGATTGAGCACATGGTTTACACAGAGATAAAAGGAAAGGATAGTGGTGGTAATGATAATATACATTAGAAAAGGAAGAAGAAAATCTTGTGGAAATAAATATTATCTTACTTGGTTTGGGGGAAAATAGTAGACTTGCAAATTAAAAAAAAATTTTGTGGTACTGTCCAGAAAACTGCCATATAATAACTGGAGCTACTCTCTGGAAGGGGCTGCCCCTTACAAATGGCCTTGATATATATATTATACATTTAGTTGTATGTAGTAATCACCCTTCGTTCTGAGACAGTAAAGTTAGAAAAGCACAAATAATACTTTGAAGAATAATGCTGGTTATTTAGGTGGTAGATTGCTTCTCCATGGCTATTAGTTTCAGCTGTGTAATTACATACGTGCCAAGGAAAAATGAAGTTGTTTTAAAACAAGTCCTCCTCTTTGAACAGAATTAATTGATATTAACAACCCTAACTACATGCCTAAGTATACATATAATATTTTACCAACAGTTTTTTGGATCCATCTCCCATTACTAAATTGTAATTTCAGAGTAGATTTGCCTGGAGGTAACTAATAAATCTGTGTTGCAGACTTCTATAAGCATTAAAGGAGAAGTGGGTATTTTATAGAGAAAGGCTACAGAAACTTGTGACATATTTTTTGACTTTTCACTGGAACATGAGTATTTCCAGGATTGTAAAGCTTGCTAATAATACACTCGAATAAAACCAAGAGGCCAATTTAAAGCACCCTATACGGAAGAAGGAAATTCTAAATTCAGGCTGAAACCTGTCATGTAATTCAGCCCATTATACAGAGGTTTTGCATGGCTGATTCTTCCAGACTCCATAGTATCTGCAGTGATGTAGTAATTTAAATTAGATTTCTCTGTGGAATTCCAGAATTCTTCACTCGTTCAAAATCATGTAATAGAGAAATATCAAAAAAATTAATTTATGTGATAGAATGAACTAGTTCCTCTGGGTTCATTATAGTTTGCCTTGAAATTAAATTCAAATATGAATTATCAACAAAAATCTCAAGTCTTGGTTCTTTGCCAGAATAATATAACAACAGTAAGCCCTCGTATAGTCTGCACAGTACATCCTATGCCCTGATTGCTATGCCTGTGTGTTACCTCAATTTTGAAAAAACACAAGATAATTTAGGTCGACTATGGAGAATCCTGGGAGTAAGGGGTTGCATTTCAGACATGACTATTGAGCTGAGATTTTTACAGATTTTAGTACTTCTGCTTTTTCAGCTGAGCTTTAAGATACTTTACCAGCAGTCGACTAAATTGTCCTCTAGCTGCCTAAATGTATAATTATCAAAGATTCTTAATGTAAGGCTGATAGATAATACTGAGCCACAAAAGAGAAGCCCTGGAAAGTTCTGAGAGGGAATGTCATCCCTGTGGGCATAGCATGGTTAGTGCAGAGGTCTGTGGCCTCCTGGGATTGATTACTAGTCCTAGCAGAGTTATGGGTGGAGGCATTGAGTTGATGAAGTAGGCTTTGGGAAGCTATTGCAGCCACACCTCTGTGCCTTTATAATATGACATTCTCTCTTCATTGACCACAATGAACTTCCAGTCCTGCATGGCAAACTCCCACTTAAACTCTGTAACCTCAAGAAAACTCTGTAACCTCCAGATCTCACTTTCCCTGGCTGTCACAGAGGCTGTTTCTTCCAGTAACTTATGTAACTTTATTGTTGTGCATATCCTCTTCCTGGTGATTTATTATTTAGTGGCCAGTGACTCTCTCTGTTACTTTTGCAGCCAGTGCCCAGCAATCGGCCAGGCACTCTGAAAGAGGTGCTCAGGACACACCCAAGTTGTTCAGTTTGAGACAGCAGATAAGCAGTCACAGAGCTGGAATCCCATTCTTTCTTTGCACTCACCTGTGCTGGCAACTCTGGTCACTTACTCTTATATATACTGTTTTCATTCCATGGAAATGAAGTTATCTGCCTTATCTGACTCTTCAAAATGCAGGAAGAGTTCAATGAAATCATATTCACATGAACACTCTTAAAAGCAGGGAGTACTGCTGAAAGTTTGTGTGCCCATAGCTTTGAAAGACCGAAACTCAAAAGGTCAGAGTTTGGAGTAAGGAAAGGTTTATTGATCGAGAAGGTGACAGCTGAGAAGATGGGAAACCTAATGGTGCCTCAAATCCATCTTGCTCACTGGACTAGGTTGAGGGTTTTTAAGGGATTAGGGGGAACAGGTATGCAGCAGTGCTGGTGGGGTAGGTTTTAATTGGAGAACCTTGGAACATGGCCATTTATGGTAAAGGAACATCAACATCAGATCTTCCTGGACAACAGACCTTTGGCTTCTGAAAGAGTTCTGGTGTTCAAGTTCAGGTTATGTCCTTGTCCTTTGATTCCTTATTGGCAGATGGGGCGGGGTGGGAGTGGGGAGAGACTTTGGTTCTGTGAACAGCCGGAGGTCAGAGTTCTCCCTGTGGTGTTTTGACTACATGACTCACGGTTTGGGTCTGTTGTCTCTAAAAAGCAACTCAGTATCTCTTTAAACAGGATAGGACCATTTTGAGCAGATACAGAAACTCTAAACAAATGCTGAGAGTTAGCATTCGAGACAGTTGGGGGCATGACAAATACTGAGCTTTCTATTCTGGCCTGGCTCAATCACGAATTCTTAGGTTGCTTTTGTACCTTCTCGGGTGCTATGAGTAGATGGCTATGGTCATTTTAGGAGTGGAGATAATCTAGGCAAATACGACTTGGTTACTGAAATCTTAAAAGCACAACTTTGCTAAGGAGTAGTAAAGCAGTAACCTAGAAAAATAAAATAATTTTATCTAGAACTCAAATTCCAAAATGCTTGCTATGTAATTGTATTACAGAAAATGAGATCAAGTGAGCTTGCTGAGTTTTTAGAACATATTTTTAATTATAAGAAGACAAAATTTGGGAGTATTCTCATTATTTTGTACATATAGTTGTTCTTCTGGTATGAACTTAAAAAATGTATATGCCTCAAACAGGATTTATGTTGACGGAAATGCTCACAGATTTCTGTTTAGAAGGATGGCAGGTACTGTCATAATTATGCTATCATATCCTATCATTAAAGATTCTATTGAAAGAGGTTTATAAATTGCTCCTATTTTTAGATAAACCACCCTATATTAAGGCATCAACGATATAGTGCAGAATTAAATTAAAATCTCATAAAATGAAATATGTACTGTATTAGCTGTTTGACACTTAATTTGCCTCTGAATGAGTCGAGGAAATCACAAATTAACCTGCCTTTGTTTTTCCAACCATGGCTTATTAGGTGTTAGAACAACTGCAATTACAGCCTAATAATAGCCACGAAGCCTTATAAATATGTACGGAAATACGTCAGTTTGTGTTAAAGAACCTTGTTTCAAACAGAATGCCTTTAGCTTACCCTACTTACTCTCACAGTGTTATTCACAATATATGGTTAGGCAGTGTAGATAACAATGTAGAACCTTACATTGTTTTAAATACAGTACTGGCAATAACATTAGAATTTATTAGTATTTTTTTCTTAAATAAAAATGATAAATTTAGATTTGAAACTTAAAAGTGGGACATGGAGTATCATTTCTCCCTGAGTTGTCACAGAAAGATTGTGATATAAAATATTTGATTTCTGCATTACGTTTTCTATTTAATTCAAGCAGTTTGAAAATTAAGAAACACTGGATGTGAAGAACTTTCCCATTTTTCTCAAAGTTATTCTCCACTGAATTTACCAGGATTTATTCTCAATAGATTATCGGAGTGTCTCTCTTGCTCTCTCAAATTATTTGCTTTGACCACAGAGTCCATGCTTTATTAAGCCCCGGGGAAGAAAGTACATTGTTTTAGAAAAAATATCACTGAGTACATTTTATTATGTTACTGAGAGTATTTGGAGCATTAATGACAGAAACTGAATCTATATTCACATAGTCAAAGCAGTAATTTTATGTGAGTATTTTTACTTCTTGGTCTTCTCTATATTTCATAGCTTGGATTGTTTATACCAGGACTGTTCCTTGCACAACTCCAGGAGGCATTGTATTCTATGGGAATGGATGATACTCTGAATGCTAAAAATTATACTTGTTTTAAAATTTTACTTGGAAATGTAGACAATTGGAATATTACATCCCCCTCTCCCCCAGAATAGTTTTATTTTCAGGTGACTGCTTCCATACTCAGGAGGAAAATATTCTTTCTCTTGCATTTTGAGTGAGTGCATTTTTTTTTTAAATTTAGTGTTAGAATTCATTTAAGCATGCTTCCTTTTAAAAATCAGACATTTATATTCATAGAAACTCAAAAATAAAAGTTTAAATTCTACGTTTATTCTGGATTTTCACTTGGAAAAAATATTCTTTTACATAAAATTTTTTTGAGTTAAAGTTTTCTCATTTATGGACTAACATGAATTGAATTACAGACTGTCCATTTTCTTCATACGAACTCTACAATTAATTTTCCAAAGCCAGGATCCTTAGTTACTAATCAATTACAGTAATTCA